CACATGCTCTATACCATTTCCAGAGATCCTTAGTAGGATTGACTTCTAATTGATCACAGTGGCACTTGCTTGATAATTCACCCTTTATTGACTTCCATCCCTTCCTTGTTCACTTACCTACTTCCTACCAAGACGTTGGGGGACCATCTCCCAAATAAAACATACTCAAATTCTCACTTCAGGTATACATCTAGGGAAACCCAAATTAAGCATATATTATACACCAATAAGAATGTTTATTTAAAAGGAAAGGGACTTGGGACATAGTTCTCAATTTTTGGGGTGTTGGAGCAACAGTTAATATTGCTTAAGATAGGTTATTGTAGTGATGTGGTATATCAATGTATTTTTTTCAATGTAAAAAGTGCATTTGTCACCCACATGGATGTAAATTTGATCATGTAGTCAGAAACTGCTAATTTTTCCAAGGTTTAGCTCACTTAATTATTATTCCTATTATGTTGATAAAGAAGTTGAAAATCACAGATGCAAAATAATTTATTCAAGATCAAATTACAGTTTGGGATGTGTTAGGCTTCATAGGAAATCATTATGTTGAGCAGATTGTGAAGGGTCAGGACAAGAACTGCAAAAAGGCACTTGATCTTCTACTTAATGGGAAACCAAGTAAAATTGTAAAGCAGAGGAATACAATGACCAGATTTTGTAGAAACTCTCTCTGACTTCACAATGAAAGTTGGGTTAGAGAGGGAAGGGATAGGAGGCCAGACGACCTTTGAGGTAGCTCTTAACAATAACCTAGGAGTCAGGTGAGAAGGGCTGCAAGTAGGGCAGGGGCTATAGACATGGTAGAGAGGACAGATTTTAGAGATATTGGCTAAGGAGGGGCTGACAAGTCTTAGTGACTAATTAGATGTAGGAGTTGAAGAAGAGGGAAGAGAGTTTTTTGTTTTGGATATTGGTTGATAATTTAAATATTTTTACTGAGGTCACTTCAACAAGTCATTGTTTTTGTAAGAGGGGTCCCCCTGGTGGTAGAAGAAAAATCAAGAATGAGATTGTGGTACTTGCTATATTGTGGGACACGATCTTATAAGAGAACCTAGTTACGAGACAGTAATGTAGGGATCCTTACTCCCTTTTTTGTGGTGGCAATGACTCACATCTAAGAATAACGGAAAGCTTGGGGGGGGGGTTGGGGGAAATGGTTATAGGTGGTCAAAAGGTACAAATTTCCAGTTATGAAATGAATAAGTTCTAGGGATGTAATGCATAGCATGGTGACTATAGTTAATAACACCATGTTGTATATTTGAAAGTTGTTAAGAGAGTAGAGCTTAAATGTTTTCATCACATGAAAAACTGTAACTATGTCAGGTGATGGATGTGTTAACCGATAGCAGTGGTCACTTTGCAATATATGCATATATCAAATTATTACTTTGTACACTTTAAATGCATACAATGTTATATGATGATTATATCTCAATAAAGCTTACATAAGCTAAAGATATAATATTATATCTCAATCAAAGATATAATATTATATCTCAAAGTTTTCCTGGAAAAAAAATTACGACAAATGAAAGCCAATGGCTACCAAGGGTCAGAAAGTGGGACCTGACAACAACCTTCACCTAGTCTAGCAAAGGAACATCTGGCCACCTTCCTTTTCCAAGAAATTGTCATGTAATTGGAAGGAGAGGTTGACTGCTATCAGTGGTGCTGGATCCAGTAGGCATTGAGGAACTCTCCCAGGGAACACTGATCTGATAGCTTAAGAGCATGGAAGAGGCAAAACTAGACTTCATTTTTTTATTTTTTTTTTAAATTTATTTTATTTCTTTTTAGTTTTTGAGGGAGAGCCCGAGTGGTGGTGGGGCAGAGAGAGAGGGAGACGCGGAATCGGAAGCAGGCTCCAGGCTCTGAGCTGTTGGCACAAAGCCTAACGTGGGGCTTGAACTCATGGACCTCTGAGATCATGACCTGAGCTGAAGTTGGATGCTCAACTGACTGAGCCACCCAGGTGCCCTAAAGCTAAAGACTTTAAAGCCAGATACACCTGAATCTGAATGTTGGCTCTGGCACAAATATGCTAGTATCGGCTTCTTCCTCTGTGAATTACACATAATAGAATCTAGGTGGTTGTGAGGTTTGAGGTAATATGTATAAAGCACTAGCTCAGTGCCTCCTCAACAGTTGGAGATGATGATGATGATGATTACCTTAGGAGCTTAGGAGATGGCCCACTGTGGTCCTTTAGGCAATTAGTAGAGTCTTAGTCTGTTTATTCATGAATATGCTAATGAAAGGAGGGAGCTCCAAAGCTGACTCAAAAGATGCTAAGCTCAAAAGATCTGGAAGCTCCCCAGCCAAGTAGTGCATCCAAATAAACAAGGTAACACCCCGGAGACACTTCTCTCTTTGTGCTTTCTCTCTTTATGCCTTGGGAATAGTCCATGGAATAAACAAGAAGCACTTTCAGAAACAGGTGCATCTGAATAAGCCTGAGTCATCGACCAAGATGAGATATTTCAGAAACTTTCCATTTTGAGCCTTTGGCATGTTCCTGATTATGTATAAATACCTTGCTTGTTATATAAATACACAGTGAATGTAACCTTTAGCTAAGTAATGCAAGGCCAACAGCTACAAAACCATCAGAGAAAAGGAGACAGAGCACAAGTGCATTTAGTAGTGGTTCCCTTTCCCAAGTCCCTTAGGGTCCTGAAGGCTTACAATGTTAAAGCTATAAGAGTTACCTCTTGAAATCACTGCAACCGTTTTTTTTTTTTTTCTCTACAGGAGCTCTGTGTGCATGTTTATTAGTTGGTTTTATCCATCTGTAAGCTTGTGTAAGCTCTCTAATGAAAACAACTGTATTTTCTTGGCTTAATTGCACATTATTGAATGTTCTGTCTCTCATGCTATAAATGTACAATAATGAGAAATGGTCTGTTCCTTAGGGACAACCAGCACATGAGGGAAATGGTGAGTCAGGTATATTATTGATGTGCCCAGAAAGTAACTTCTTAAAGGCCAGAATATAATCATAAAGACAAAATAACTTGATTATTGCACCCCCACCATAGCTTGTATCATATTGAATAACAAACGGGTTGGCAGGATTAATCATCTATGATGCGTTTCATAAGGAAAACAGAAGGATATAACTGATGTGTTATATTTTTTCTGGACACGTAGCCACAGTCTGCCGGATACTGTGGGGAGTGGTGCTGTGCAGAACATACTTGTACAAATAGGTCTGCCTTTGAGTATAATTTTAGGTGTCGGCCGCTAAGAGGGGAATAGCAGAAAGCTTATCGAGGGGACAAGTATCATAACCAGTGATCCCCATACTGAGTCTCTGCAGATTCTTCCCTTTAGCTTTCTTCTTCTTTTTTGTTTTCTAACATTTATTTATTTTTGAGAGAGAGACAGAGCATGAGTGGGGGGAGGTGCAGAGAGAGAAGGAGACAGACTCTGAAGCAGGCTCCAGGCTCTAAGCTGCAGCACTGCGCCCCTTGTAGGAGTCAGACCCACAGACTATGAGATCATGACCTGTGTCAAAATTGGATGCTTAACTGATGGGACCACCCAGGCACCCCCTCCCTTTTGCTTTCTTAGTGTCCCTTAGGATACTAAGTTTACCTCAACCATAGGATAGCCAAAGCTCATGATTAAAGTGGTGGGGGTGGCATTTTCTGTATAGTTTAGAGCAAGCCTGAATTATGCTAGAGTGTGAAAAGGCAAACAGAGGGTGTCGTCTTCCTGGCTGGGAAGGTCTCCAACAATTCTATGAACTTGAAGGGTGGATAGAAGCTTATGGAGTACTTGCTAATTGACAGCCAAGTCCTGCCTTAAAAACCAAAGAAGTTAAAAAAAATTTTTGTATAGTATCCTAAAAAGTTATCAAGAGACAACTTAATGGAAATATTTTAAAATAAAAATTGAATTGTTCTTTATCAACTTAATAAAATGTGATTTTTATATTTATTTTTGAATGATTTTTCCATTATTAGATGTTAACTTTATAATTCTTTAAACATTTTTTAAAGCTTATTTATTTATTTTGTGAGAAAGAGCAGGAGACGTGAGAAAGAGGGAGAGAGAGAATCCCAGCCAGGCTCCCCACTGTCACTGCAGAGCCCAGCGTGGGGGCTCGAGCCCACGAATTGTGAGATCATGACCTGAGATGAAATCAAGATTCGGATGCTTAACCTGAGCTACCAAGGTGCCCCAATTCTTTAAACCATAAAGTCTCCCAAGTAAGTTCTCATTTATTACATGTGGGCAGGATTTTGGCCAAATTACAAATGGGTCAGTTTCTGTAAAAGGGCTGCAACAATTGCCTCTCCATGTGGATTTTTGTAAATTCAGTTGCCTTAACCCAGATATCTCCCAAGCAAATGGGACTGGGATGTTAATATGTGTGTGTGCGTGTGCACATGCGATTTGAGGCTCTTCAAAATTACACGTGTGTGCGTTTGTTTATTGGGTACGTGATCCCTCCATCTGGTAGTTGTCCAAGTTAAGACAAGTCCTTTCACTTGCAGCGTGTGTTGTGACCCAAAAGCATTTTTCAAACATAACTGATTGTGATGAGTGCACACATAGCAAGCAAAGCCAAAAAGCAATGCCCCTTCCATCCCAGTTTATCTTGACTCTAATCTTTGCTGGTGATTTCCAAATTCATGAGCCAAATGTAAGTATATTTTTTAAAATGTTTTATTGATTTTTGAAAGGGAGCATGAGAGCAGGGGAGGGGCAGAGAGAGAGGGGGACAGAAGATCCAAAGTGGGTTCCGCACAGAGAGTGGTGAACCCTATGCAGAGTTTGAACTCATGAACCATGAGACCATGACCTGAGCGGAAGTCTGATGCTCAACCGAATGAGCCACCCAGGCAACCCGCCACATGTGCGTACTTGTGTCCAGGTAACAATTTAAATAAAAACAGTGGGTTAGCCAGCCAACAAATGTTGAGTTAGAAACCTTAAGCCCAGCAGTTTGAGAATGCCTGCAGTGAACTGCTTCTTACCTTTCTGTATCCCCAGAGCTGGTTCCCCTTCATGCCATGACAGTCATAGAGAGTGACCGGGCTGTTGTGTGAGATTGCATCGAAGCAGAACTTTCGGGTGTGTAGTGGCTCCCCAGGCCGAATATCTTCTCTCCATCCAAAAGTAAAGAGCTAACGAAACAACAACAGCAGAAGAGAAACAGTGAGTTTAGTTTGGAGAGACTGGAGGGCAAGGGGAGGTCTTTCCGCCCTGTGGGACTCCTGCTTTGTGACTGACCAGAAAAGAACTACATCGAGGCTCACTAGAGGTGCTGGAAAAGGCACGTATCATAAACCTCTGTAGCAGCAACGATGGCACCTTGGTCCTGGGCTGCCCAAAAGTACAAATAAGGATTTCTCAATTAGGAATCAGGGAAAATAACAGAGGGATAGTATGGAAAGAAAGAGAGAGGAAGAGCAAGAGAAAAGGAAGGAGGGAGAGAGGGTGAGGGAGGGGAGCGGCAAGGGGAAGATGAAGGGGAGGGGTAGGAGGGGAAGAAGCTCTTTAATGAAACCTTTACATTCTTTATTTAGATAAAATGCTACTGGATCCAATGCTGCACACTTAGCCCAAGTAAGCAGATTAACTTCGAAGAGACCAGGAGTGGAGCTGAGCTGGATTGATGCTACCAGTTTGAAAAATTTGATTTAAATGGAAGCTAAGTTTAATGAAGTAAAGGGTAGGCAGATTAGTTTTCTGGAGTTGGAAAGAGTAAGTCAGCAGGGCAGTGTAGAAAGTTTTGGGCTGTAAGGCACAGTAAGAGATACAGTTTCCACACACACAGATTCTTCCTCCTCAAGTGAAAACAGATGCTTCACAAAATGATTGTTGTCCTTACTGCATTTAATGGACTCTGATATTCCAACCAATCTTTTCCTATTTTAGTCTATTCTATACTGTCCATCCCATTCTATTATTTAAAAGAGTGCTACTTGGGGCACCTGTGTGGCTCAGCCGGGAGCATCCCACTTCGGCTCAGGTCATGATCTCATGGTTCATGAGTTCGAGTCCCACATTGGGTTGTGTGCTGACAGAACAGAGCCAAGAGCCTGCTTCAGATTCTGTGTCTCCCTCTCTCTCTGTCCCCTCCAGGATCATGCTCTGTCTCTCTCTCTTTCAAAAGTAAATAGACATTTAAAAAAACTTAAAAAATAAAAGAATGCTACTTACGGGGCACTAAGTGGATTTTATAATATATTGAATTAAGAAAAAACACTTCCGTAAGGGAAGGGTGTTTTCTTGAATTTGAGCTGGTCAACACTTGAGGAGTTCTGTAGAGAAATCCTCAAGTAAGCGGGGAAATGGACTAGATGAGACCTAGGCTTTCTTCCAATTATAAGATTTCAGTGAGGTTATAGAATTCTTGCAGTAGGACATACGGTGGCCCTTGTGAAGCCAAGCTGTGAATTGCAAGATAAAGAGTTGTCAGAGGGGCCCTGTTGATACAACAGTGAGCGCAGTGCAGAACTGGGTGTAGATAATACACTTGGCACTGACCAGGCCTTCAGAATATTCCAGTTTTTAGGTCCTACCTGGGTAAGAAAATGTGGAGAATCTGGCAAAATACCAGGGAAGACTAACAAAAAACAGTGAAGTGATAGGCTAACAAAAACAGTGAACATTGAAAAAAAATGGGTTAAGCGGTCGGAAGAAAAATCAGAAAGAAATGCTCTAAATCGAACATCCGAAAGTAGATTGCATGTGTAATGGTGAGTCACTGTATTCTGTTTTCCTGGAAGACAAGACAAAAGAGAATGCTTTAAATAGAAGGACAAAGGTTTTAGGTTAGGCTTCTGAAATAGATTCAGGAAGAGAAATTGTGTGGTCTTTTTTCCTACAGTTTTCTTTCTTTCTTTTTTTCTTTCAGTAGGATTGTGAACTGAGACATGTTTAGATTCGTTTACATCCTACGCAGGAGAATGGCTTGTCAAGGAAAAGTGTCTATCAGCTAGGTCTTTCTGATTTGATCCCTCTCTTCAAATCAGAGCTCACGATTCCCTTGGCTTTTGTAATACCGTGCTGCTCTGTTAGCCTACACCTCTATTTTGCCCACGTCTCTCTTTTATCCGTCTCTTTACCACAGGTGCAGCACAGGGCTCTCCGTTGGACACTGTCCTTATAGCTTCTCTCGTTGGTATTATACACACTCAGCTCAACTCTTAATACACTGATAACTTACCATCTGTAACATATCCAACTCTGTGTATGATTTCCCATCTGCATGTCGCATGGACATCTCAAATTCAAAGTATCTTAAATTCAAGTTGATTCTGTCCTACTAAACCTGTTTCTACTTCTTTATTTTGTTTTAACTGGTGGTCACAGCCTTCACTTGCCAAGCTGGGGGTGGTCTTTCATCTTTAACTCCTTCGTCTCCCTTATACTTGCTGCTTAGTCCGTTAGCAAGTCTTATCTTTTTTGTCTACTGAATATTGCTAGAAGTAGTCTCTTCTTCTCTAGCTCTATCTCTACTATCTTTGCTCTCAATATTTCTTGTTCAGACTACTGAAATGATTTCCTAATTGGTTTCTGTCCCACCTTCCTTTTTTGGTTCCTTCATAACTCTTCGACCATTTTAGCACTCAACCTGAAATTTAACAATGTTTTTACATAAGCCTTAGAGAATATAGTTCAAACTCTTTAACCTATAAAGAAATTGCCACCATCCGGCCTTTGCCATTTTTTTCCCCAGCTGCTTTCCTCTCCCTTTAGTTCATGATCCAGCTACAACAAATCATTTGGAGGTTGCTAAGAGAGTAGATCTGAACAGTTTTCACACCAGAAAAACAAATTCCATAACTATGTATGGTGATGTGTGTTAACGAGACTTACTGTAGTGATCATCTCACAATGTATACAAATATCAAATCATCATGCTCTACAACCGAAGCTAATATAAAGTTGTATGACCATTATCTCTCAGTTCAAAAACATTTGTAGTTTTTGGCACTAATCAGGCTCTATTGTTCCTTCTGTGACTTTGTTCATGAGAGACCCTCTGGTTGGAAGGCCAGCCTTCACCAGCCAACCTGGTTCTTGCTCATCAGTTCTCTAAGATTTAGTTCAGGTGCCCACCCAACCAAGAAGCCTTCCTCTTTGAACCCCCTGATTCCTTCTCACCCTTTACCTTATTTCATCATGATTGTCCATTTACGTGTCTGTATCCCTCACTAGACAGTAAGATCCTTAGTGAGGACTAGTATCTTTTTTATCTTTGCATTTCTAGCATCCAGAGCAATTCAGGACATACAATAAATGTCCAGTAAAATATCTATTGAAAAAATGGAAACTTGCATTCATAGAATGAACTAACAGAAACTACCCCAGGATAACTGACAAGATAAAGCAGTTGGTCTTGTTAGTCCTTTAAATAAATTTGGGCTGTTTGTGTCTAGTTACAACAATATCAATAATAATATCATTTTTGGAACTTTCATCTTCAAGGATTCTTGGCTTAGTTACCTATTCCTGAAACAGAAACTTCCTGTCCTATAAACCTGTCATTGGCACTGATGAAATCTTAATTTCATCTATCACACTTCGTTGGCACTATAAAAAGTCCAGCCCAAGCAAGAACTAGTGGTCTTGACTGCTTTTTTTTCCCTTTCCCTCTCTGCCTCTGCCTCTCTTTTTGGTTTCTATACACGTAGAAGGCCAGAGTTGAAAGGGTCTATCATGATTACCTAGCTCATTTCCTCATTATACAGTTGAGGAAAAAGGAATATACATGTATATATATATATGTGTGTGTGTGTGTGTGTATACACACATATATAACTTCTTGCTTTCTATTTATTTTTCTTGTTTTTTATTAACTGGATTGTATTCACCTATTGTCCCAATTATATCCCATGGCTCCTTAGGTGACTTTTTTTTTCTTGTTTCTGGGTTTGTCATTAGAGTGTGATAATCATTGTCAGATTTGTAGATTGGTTGTTAGCTGGTGGTCTTCACAGTGTTTTATGCTGTATCAGCACCACCACCACCACCACCATCACCACCATCATCACGATACCTGGTGATTGCTTTCCTGCACCCCAAGTGATATATTTCCAGATTATATCAACTGCTTTATTATTCTGCAACTCCCCTTAGCTAAAATTTTTCTCTCTCATGTCTTTGAAATGCTTTCTATTGCCATTTCTCTTATCCTAATGGCCACATCAAACCAATCAGGCATTGAGCCTTTCATTCATTAGGCACATTTTCTTGTGTGCAAATTTGTCACGCCAGAAGCAAGCAGACATTATGAAAGTTATTTTCATTGTTTGCACTTTATGATGTTATTGTGACATGTATAGTTTGTCTCTTACCCTTGGGCTGTTCCTTACTGATGGAAATATTTAGATTTCATTCAGATTTCTTGTACAACAACTCTTGATTCTTTTCAACCTCAAATCCCTCAATTTTAGAGTAAATTGGTGTTAATCCCTCCACTTGTTTCTTTTAGGTGATACTTTTAAATATAGATCCAGATACCTAATGCATATGTCTGTGCTTTAACATCAGTGCGGTGTGTGTAATGCTGCCTGGGTTTATGCTGTATCATATGACTAAGCTCACTAGACTTAGTACTGCAAATACATGTATTATCTTGATCTTGCTACCTGATTGGAGAAGATTGAAAATATTTTTCTCTCCGTGGGTAGCTGTATTTTACTTTCCGGTTATGTGGTTGGCAGAGATCTGAGACGCTGCATGTTCCTCCTTGCATTTGGAACCCACCAGTAAGCCCTGTTCTGAGAGTGCGGCTCCGTGTCCCAGAATCTGTCCTTTACCACATGCACTGACTCGCTCCCTTCTCCTTCCGTACATCTCCTCTCCAGGTCTTGCAGAGGCAGTCTGCTTCCACAGCAGGGGGCGGGCCTGCTCTGCCGCAGTGCTCCTCCCCGTGTGAGATCAGAGCCTGCTGCCTGTCCAAACTGTAGGCCGCAGAGGGCTCCACCTCCTCTCCTCTTCTCTCCCTTGGCCTCCTCATGGCATTGGGAGGATATTCTTTCCAGACCTCACAGTCTTATCAAGTTCTATTTTCTCTTTCTTTCTTGGTCCCTAAAGGAAACTGAAAGCCAGTACACAATGCTACAGTGATCTCAAGCAGCTAAATAGATGTCCCTGGAAAAATGTATGGCACAAATTGCTTCCTTCGTTGAAGCTAAATTAGCCATCACTGGTGTTCTGCAACAAAGGCAATTTCTTATTCAGCTGCTTCAATAGACTATCCACTATTTCCCACATAATTATTTTGTGTATTCATTTGTGTTTTCTTTTTGCCACTTTTTAAAAGCGATCATTTCAATCTAATAAATGTCCCTTTTGTGTTCTTTGAATGTTTTTGAATCAAAAAGAATACCTATAACTTTCCTGATCTGATATACTTCTTTTTTCATCCAGGAATTTTAATCTAAATGTAGGAGAATGAGTCTTAATTCATATGCCATTGAGTAATACAGTGAATAAAGCTTAACAATTATCAGAAAAACAAAGCAGCTTGTAATGTTTTAATCACCAAGTCAATATATGGTGATACATATTTCAATATCATTCTTTTTTTTTAACCTCCTGTCAACTTTGTTTAATCTTCCTGTAGCTCTCTTTTCAGAAATCTCTAGGGAAGAAACCTTTTTAAAGAGCTGTATTAAAGTGGTCTTTTTGTTCCTCTTACATAGTTGTCTGCTTGTCTAGTGCTGCCCTCTGGTGACTATTTCTTGAATTACATGCCATACATTTTTGCAGTTCAGCCTCGGGCGGGGGGGAATAAAGCAACCAGTTTTAAAGCATATGCCATATAGTTGACTTTATTTATATTTATTTTTCAGCTGTCAAATAAAATCTGTGGTCCAGAGCATATTTCACTCTAGAACGTGACAGGGAATAGAAATATTAAACCTCATTCAGGCATTCAGGCAGGTACAGGTACAGGTACCTGATAGGTACAGGTACTTCCTATCAACCGGCTGGCAAGGTGTGTCCCCTGATAGGGCGGCACAGCGGTCGTAGAGAGGAAGTTAGCCTAACAGACATAGATTTTTCTCATGGCATGCTTCTTTTTCTTTTCTTTTCTTTCTCTTTTTAAAAGACCCACTGCACATGTGGGTCTTACTGATAGGTCTGTGAAGCCTTCCCCTCTGGCTCCCAGCCTGAAGCAGGAATTGCTTCTTAGAGGCGACAAGCCAGCACTGTTCTCACACCCCTGGTAACATCCCGTGGCGCTCATAGAAAGAGGTGGAGGAAGGAGGAGGCAAGTCAGCGCCTACTAACATTTCATTCCTATCAGTAAGTCCCGGATCTGCAGAGCCCTCTTTAAACCCCATCTGACAAGTGTCCATATACTGGGGGATATATTTGAGTGAATGAGAAATAGTGTTTGGTTTGGCAGCTGCCGTGGGCCCGGGAGAGATTTCTAATTTGGAGTTAGTATAAAGTGAGCTGGGGGAGATGTCAGAAGGCAGAAGGGAAAGTGTATTTATTCGGCCCCTGCCCCACGTGCAAGATGCTGTTCTATCATAGACACGATTTATTCTCATTAAAACCCTGTTTGTGAGGTGAATATTATCGTCCCTATTTACAGAGGAGGAAGTCCAGCTTAGAAAGATTTCACCATTTCAAGGGTTAGAGTGGCTGAAATCTGGGTTGGCCGGACTGCAAGGCCCGCGATCCGTGCGGAACCCCGCGAGGCTGGGGGGTAAGAGAAAGGTCCAGATCAGAGGGGCGGGGCGGGGCCAGCGGCTGAGCACGTTCGCGGGCAGTGCTGTGCACCTGCTGCCCCGCTGCTTTCCTGAGTCGCGCTGCTCTTGCGCTGCAGCGCGGGCCACAGGTGCTTGAGGAAGGGCCGGGGGGTGGGGGGTGGGGGTGGGGCGGGACGGGCAGGTGCCACCACGACACACGGAACAACTCTTTACGCTCCTGGGCTGGGCGCGGTGTGTCTTCTCTATGTCGTATGCAAGATGGATTCTCGAGGAATAGACTAAGGAGAGGACGATAGCCTTACTGGAAACTGCTTGTCTACTGTTTTCGGTTTTCATAAGAGGTATTATGGATGCTTCTGACAAACAAAGCACCGGCAGGTTATACTATCCTGAATGGGGGATGTATCCTTTAGAAGAGGGAGAGGAGTAAGATGGGGAAGGGGCTTTAACTGTATCTACAAATTTTATTCTTTAAAAAACTTTGGCAGGAGCGCCTGAGTGGCTCAGTTGGTTAAGCGTTAAGACTCCTGGGCTGGGCTTAGGTCATGATCTCACGGTTCCATGAGTTCGAGCCCTGCGTCGAGCTCCATGCTAACAGTTGGAGCCTACTTGGAATTCTCTCTCTCTCTCTCTCTCTCTCTCTCCCCCTCCCATGTGTGCTCTCTCTCTTTCTCAGAATAATAAACTTTAAAAAATATGGCAATAGCTGTAGATACTTGTTAAATCTTTGCAGAGTGTGTTAAGATGTGCCATAATATTTTTATAAATATATGGAATTTGTGGAGAAAAACCAGATTTTAAATATAACATGGCCTAATGGGCATGTAAGAACATGAGACGGTTCAAGGGCAAAACTCCAGCTGGCTGCAGCAAAGGGCTCTGTGATCCCGCAGCACAGGGAGCAGCCTAGAGTTCATGACTTGGTAAAAATGGCAGTTTTTTCCTCAGTGAGTTAAATATATAGTTTCCTATCTGATTTTTGATAATTAAAAATTAAAGCAATAACAAGGGGCAGGCACGACTCTACCCACTATCCTTTCTCTTTTTCAGGTGACACAGTGTGAGGAAAGTCCCTCAGAAAGACCATCTGTTTTCAAAGTGGATGGGAATGACAACTCACTCAACAAACCGAATTGCACTGAAATGCTTTTCAATCAAAGCAATACATAGTCTTACACTATTCCATGAAACCCACGTGGAGATGTTACTGCTTCAAAGTTACCTTCATGTATAAGATTACAAACTGCTATAACATCAAGAGGTGTATGTAGAGTATTCTTTTCCATATATAGCCAGAGGGGAAAACAAGATTAGTTAAAATCACAAAAACTTATCAAATAACAAAGAGGAGGGGCGCCTGGGTGGTTCAGTTGGTTAAGCGTCTGACTTCGGCTCAGGCCATGATCTCATGGTTCGGGGTTTGAGCCCCGCGCCAGGCTCTATGCTGACAGCCAGCTCAGAGCCTGGAGCCTGTTTCAGATTCTGTGTCTCCCTCTCTCTCTGACCTTCCTCTGCTCACGCTGTGTCTCTCTCAGAAATAAATAAAACATTAAATAAAAGTTTTTTTTAAATAACAAAGAGTCTTTCAACAAAACCATGAAATTTAGTTGGAAGAGTTACATGACACTGTACAGGCTTTTCGTGGTTTGAAGACTCTCATTCTGGGAAAGGAGATAAAAGCCTGGGGTCACAATCAACACTTCTACCATCCTTTCTATTATTGAAGCACATTTTTGTGCATGATCTCAATTGATTCTCACAGCTGCTCTGAGAAGCCATGGAAAACAAAGGAGGTAAGTAATTCCCCACATAACTACCGAACTGGTTGGTGACAGAACTGGGGAGGTCCATGTGTCCCGCCCAGAACCCTCCACGCCCCTCTCGGCCCCGCTCACTCCTGCCACACACCTGTTCATGAGACCACGTTCTTTCAGAACCATCCTTGACACAGATGTCCAGCCTCAGCTCTGTGCCTGTGGCTCCGTGCTTGCTGTCCACGCAGAGATTTGCTGCCACATTTCGAATCTGTGGAAAGAAGAAAGAAGGAGCCAGGGTTGGTTTTTATTGTTTCCCTAGCTCGTGTCAATTCTGGTCTAGATTCTGTAGTTGTCTTTCTCATTACTTGATTACTGAATGATGCTTTAAGTTTATGTGGAATTTGTGGAGAAAAACCAGATTTTAAATATAACATGGCCTAATGGGCATGTAAGAACATGAGACGGTTCAAGGGCAAAACTCCAGCTGGCTGCAGCAAAGGGCTCTGTGATCACGCAGCACAGGGAGCAGCCTAGAGTTCATGACTTGGTAAAAATGGCAGTTTTTTCCTCAGTGAGTTAAAAATTAAAAAACAAATATTTTTTACTTTATATATAGAAAGAATGCAAGTGGAGGAGAGGGGCAAAGGCAGAGAGAGAGAGAGAGAGAATCTTTTTAAAAAAATTTAAATGTTAATTATTTTTGAGACAGAGAGAGACAGATCATGGGCAGGGGAGAGAAACACAGAATCGGAGACAGGCTCCAGGCTGTCAGCACAGAGCCCAATGTGGGGCTCGAACTCACAAACCATGAGATCGTGACCTGAGCTGAAGTTGAATGCTTAACCGACTGAGCCACTCAGACGCCCCGAGAGAGAGAATCTTAAGCAGCTCCACAGTTAGAATGGAGCCCATGCAGGGCTTGATCCCACAACCCTGGGACTGTGACCTGAGCTGAAATCAAGAGTCGGAGGCTCAACCAACTGAGCCACCCAGGTGCCCCTCTTCAGAGAGTTCTTAACTTAGAATTGTTGTCCTCTTGCTCCCAAGCCTCTTCTCCCATTTCCACCTTATCTGGGAGAAGAGATCAAATATGAGGAAGGTGACGTGAGTACAGTGTGTGATGCAGAACAATGAATCCCTGAGCATTGCATGATTCTGTGCAGGACACGGTGGCCATGTCCTAGTAGGCCCAGGTGGTCTTGGTTTATACCTGCTGTCACGGTGTAGCATTTCTCCGGGATGAGAAATGAAGTGTCACCCTAGAGTATTAGTGAGATAAGAAGAATGGTACTGTTGGTACCACACTGTATTGGATGAAGACTCTCTGTGTGAAGTCTGAGCTTTGGAAAGTTGCAGAGTAAGTAAAAAATGACTGACTGACATTCTTTACAATTATTATATTCATACTGATAAAAGGGACTGAGTAGTTCTGGGTGGGACAAGAATGGACTATGAGAAGTATCAACAGAAATAGCAGCAGACAGAGTCTGGACACGGAAACGTGTCCGTTGGTCAAGTCTGGCTGCTTCCCGGTTCCTCCAATTGTCCTGTTAGCATCAGAACCACACCCTACAGTTCAGCTGGATATTGTTCTTGGGTCTTTACTTAAGCTTCCATGTTTAGATAAGCTCACTCTTATCTCAATCTGTTTTATGCCTTTATATAGCCCTGGATTAGAATAATCCCTTTAGGTACTGCTCAGAATATGGACACAAGAACAAGATGTACTCAAGCGGTAATTTTAGTCAAGACTGTGTCTCCCTCTCTCTCTGCCCCTCCCCTGCTCATGCTCTGTCTCTCAAAAATTAAAAAAAAAAAAACATTAACAAATAAAAAAAAGAAAATAAATGTCTATATGCCAGCAACAACAAGAAAACATTAGAAAATGAAATTCAAAAATAATTTCATTTGACCACTATGAAAAGTCAAGACTTTTTTGCCAAGAATGAGAAGGTAAAGGGGGGATGTGTCTCTGGGGCAGAACGATGGCTGACCCAGGCCTATTCCTGCTGGGACAGGGCAAGAGGCAGAGAGAGGTTGTTATGAAATAGACTGCGGATCATGAAGGGAACAGATGATGCCTGGATGGCATTGTTGCAGAGAGACCAATTTCTTAGTTCACTTCCGGTAGTAGAGGCTGGTATAATGTCATCCAGGAGGGAATTAATGTGGTAGATATTGGTTTCCTTATTCAGGGAAACTGGCAATAGCGCGAGGTCATTTCCACCATGGGACTGCTCTACTTTCAGGGTCTGTCCCCAGTGATAGAGGAATGTGAAATAATGTAGGACTCAGGGCACAAGTTCTTAACCTAGTCTGGTCTGCAGACTTGTCTGAGAATCCAAGGAAAGCTATGGACATTTTTACAAAAACAAACTAACAAAACTGTAAGTGGATACATATCAGCACTTTTGTGTTCATTTTCCTGAAAACTACAGACTCCACGTTGGAACCCCGAGTTAGAGAAAACACTTTCTACCCCCTCCTTGAAAACTACTGGTATCCTTCCTCTTTGTAGGACGGGAAATCCTGAAAGACAGGGGATGAGCTTGACTGCTATCAAAGTGCACCTGATTCACTCTCACTTCCGCTGACTTTTCTCCACCTTCTGGAAACAAGTTCCATGGAGGAATTTTACTAAGCGAAGTTTAAAGTCAGCCTTGTGTAAGATCAATTCATTGATGTGTGATTGAATTTCTTTGGTGAAATGGAAACCGCTAGAAGGTCAAGAGTTTGCTTTTATTATCTCTGGCTTGAGCCTGGCACCCTCTGTAAAGCTCCTATTGGATCTAATCTGATTTCAGTGTGTCTGCTTTCTAAAGCTCTGTCTAACCTGAGGGTTGCCTGACAGAACTCTGGGGGAGACTCTTTCTCCATTGTTGGACCATTTAACTCACAGACGCGCCTTCTTAGAGAATCAGTGTAGGTTTGTGCCAAAGACACCTTCAGGGCACTATTGTTCCCTCTACTGGAGAACAGAAGTTCCGAACCACATTTAGGAAAACAACAGCTGCTTATAGTTTATGGCCATTTGGCCACGGAGGGAGGGTGTGCCCTTCTCTGTCAGCTGGCATGGTGCTCACTCACTGAAAGGGCCCTGTTCTTGGAGAAGGAGAACCTAGGGAAGAAAATAATATACACAAGCCAGGGGCACTGAGTGGCCAATCTGCCAAATCTGCCTGTGGATACACACCAAAGCCCATCAGGGAGCTCGTTTTATTTCTAAGTGTTATGAGCTCCAAGGACACTGGCAGGGACAGAGGAGATCATTTTCTAAACTCTTGAATTTTCTAAATTCTCACTCAAATGGCATCTGTGTAGACAATGGGATAAATTACTTTGGGAGCCAAATTTCAAGTTGCAAGGGCTTCATTGTCTACATCTGTGTAAATTCCAGCACACACTCGTGCCAGAGAAGAAATGGTAGAGAAAACAGGGTAAGGGAGGTGCCTGGATGCAAGACCGGTATCAGGCCACCCTCACTGGCTTCTGGCTTCCTTTTCTTTTTGTCTTCACCCCTCAGCACATACCCATGCTCTCTCCTCTTGCTCACACAACTCCATCAAAATCATATAGAGAACAAACGGATGGTTGCCAGGGGGGAACGTGTGGAGGGATGGGTAAAATGGCTGAAGGGGAGTAGGAGACACTGGCTTCCAGTTTTGGAATGAATACACCATGGGAATAAAAGGCACAGCACAGGGGATATAGTCAATGTAACAGGACAGATGTGGCTATGCCTGTGGGGAGTATAGGAACGTAGCAGAATACGTGAATTCATCAGATCTGTAAGTTGTACACCTGAAACTAATGTAACGTTGTTTGGCAACTATAGTTAAAATACGAAAAATAAAATAAAATAAAATAAAGAGGTGACTAAAATTCCAATAGAACTAATTCGGTTTGCTTATTTGAGTAAAGTTAAAAAATAGACATAAGAAATTTTATAAATGGTTTGTGCTTTTTTAACACAGGCTCTGTATTTGGCTGAAAATAAAGCAGTTTGCACATATTACACACACCCAAATCTAGGACACAGAACGCTGAATAAATCTATGACAGAATAGATACTTTTCATGCTTTATTCTTTCGATGTCCAGCTTCAGGGCTTGGCATCATTAAAATTGTGTTAAGAAATCCTGCGAGACATTGAACAGGATTAGAAAGTTAGGTAGTGCTTGAGTAGAAGTGGGTGGGGAGCTGGAGGAAAATGGGGGAAAAGAGAATCATTATGTATGACAGGATTACAGACATAATCTCCTTTTGGGCAAGGTTTAGGAAAAGGTCTGGCAAGGAGTAAAGAATTTCTTAGATATGCAAGAGAAGTCAGTCTCAGCTTGGACATTTCTCCCCCCTCCCTGACACAAGAAGTTTTTAAAAAGAGGTACAAGAGAGGGGGAGTGTGGTATAAATGTCAAGGTGGCGAGTAGGTGTGGGGTTGGTAATTCTGTTGGTTGTTAAAGAGACACTAGCCTGGGGCACGTGGATGGCTTAGTTGGTTGAGTGTTTGACTTCGGTCATGATCTCACAGTTTGTGGGTCCGAGACCCACATCCGTCTCTGTGCTGACAGTGCAGAGCCTGCTTCAGGTTCCCTGTCTCCCTCTCTCTCTGTCCCTCTCCTGCTTGTGCACTCTCTCTGAAAGAGAGAGAGAGAGAGAGAGAGAGAGAGAGAGAGAGAGAGAATGGCCTCAGTTTAACAAATGAGAGCATGGTTTGCTAATTCCTCCCATATCAGGGTCTTTTAAGTAAGAAGTAGTGTCTTCATGATTCATTCAGCAAATTTTATAAAGTACCTACTGTCCCAGCCACTATACCATATACTGGGTACGGAGTGGGAAAAAAAAAAGAATCAGTTCCCAAGAAAATAGGCAAAGAGGGTCAAAAGGTACAATCTTACAGTTATAAAATAAAATAAGTTCTGGGTAGGTAATGCACAGTTAAGAATACTGTGTTGTATATTTGAAAGTTGCTAAGAGAGTAGATCTTAAAAGTTCTCATGAGAAAAAATTTGTAACAATGTATTGTGATGGATGGTAACTAGAGTCACTATAGTGATCATTTCATAATATATATAAATATTCTATCATTATGTTGCACATCTGACATTAATATAACATATGTCAATCAAAATTTTTTTTAATGTTTTATTTATTTCTGAGAGAGAGAGAGAGAGAGACAGCATGAGCAGGGGAAGGTCAGAGAGAGAGGGAGACACAGAATCTGAAACAGGCTCCAGGCTCTGAGCTAGCTGTCAGCACAGAGCCCGA